GCTCGCGCTTGTGCATGTTACGTCTTTCGAAACAAATGAACTTTTCTGGCTTCATTACCGACTTTAAAAACACTTTCAGGCTTATTTAATTTTATTGAACCAGTTTCTGTAGTTTCAGTCAATGAAATTGAAGACTGTCTTCACTCATATGTAGACATCATGTAAATTTTCGATTCGAGCGATGAATTGTGTTGCATTTTAGTGAATGCATTTTAATTTTAATTGTTGAATATCCATTACGTGTTCAATTAACATCAGATTAAAATATTTTTGATAAATTTAACTTTTTTAAATATATATTAAATTATAAATTATCTTCAATATTGCCAAATTTCACAAAAAAATAAATTTTTAAAAATTATTTCTTAAAGGTTCAGGGATTAAGACTTAACCCATTTATAATGAATCCACTCCTTTATAATTAAATGTAAATTTTTAACAATTCCAAGGTTCAGAAGTACAGTAGAACTTATTAATACAAAATTATTTAAAAATGTTAACTTGGAGAATATTTTTAAGAAACTTAAATTTTTATATTACATTATTTTCGCTTGCAATGCAATTCTTTTGGAAAAAAAAAATGGGTTTCACAAAACAATGTTTCTAAATTGCCAGGTTCTTCCAGTGTAAGTAAGTAAATAAAATAATGTCCAACCAGAACAATGAGTAAAGAAGCCAGTTGTTACTAACTGCTAACTAACTGTCATAATTTCATTAGAAGAATCTGCAAATTTAATTCTAATTACTAAACTTACTACGTGGGTTGCCTTCTAAGTCTTGCGCTTAGACAAAGTATTGTGAGATGAACCATTTGTTTACTTAAAGTCATCAGAGAGTTAATGAAAACCAAACGTCAAAAAAAATCATCCTCCACTAGAATGGAGGATGCGAGCACGGTTGCCACTTATGGTACTTTAGTACCAAAATTGGTACTTTTTTTTCTGTTTGGTACTCTGGTACTCATGTTCAAAAAATGGTACATTTTCGGCGACCCAACTTTATTGTGGATATTGTATTGTTTTATACTTTTTGTACATTTTATATAAATTGTATTTTCTTATAAAAAGACAATAGAAAAATTTTGGACCTTTTTTTACAGAAATGGTACCTTTTTAAACCAATTTTGGTACAGAAAAAAATTTTCAAGTGGCAACCGTGGATGCGAGTTCCCACTTATCAGCTCAAAGAAAAGAGTTTTTCAAAAGTCAAAAGGTCGATTTGATGGGTCATCCACCTGACAGTCCAGACTTGGTATCCAATGACTTCTTCTTGTTCTCAAAATATAACAAAAAATCCATGACATGCGTTTTTTACGTTCGAGCAAGCCGTTGTGGCACACAAAACACTTGTTTTGGAGATACTAACTTTAGAGTGGCAAAACTGTTTAGTAGATTATTTTAATCGAATGCGAAAATGTATTGATTATCTTGAAGAATACTTCGAAAAACAATAAAACCATTTTCACTGATTAACCAGTGCGTTTTCATTGTTAGGAACAGGCAACTAAAAAGGCAATCCTCGTATTTGTTTTATTATCGGGTATATGTATTATTCTGAAACCTGATATGTTTCTTTAAATTTTCTAAATAATATAATATTTTTTATTGGCAAATCAGATGTTGTATAAACGCTAGACTATAAAGGACATAGGTACATTTCATGGTTCAGTGGTTTCAATTTTATAAAATTAACTTCCATATCTGTATTTATCTATATCTGTAATATTTCCAAATTATATATGCCAATTCAGTCTTCATCGAGTTTAACACAATTTCGTGGCATTGAACACAATATAGATTTGTTTGCAATATTCTAGCAGTATTTGATACAATAAGATTTATATAAGATTTTTTAAGCAGATCTGCGTAAAGAAAAGCAAATGAAAACTGTGTGTGAGTGGAAAAGTTCAAGTTTCTAGGGCCTTTGGAGCAAATCGGCGCAATGTAAACTAAAGCAGGTATGTGTGGGTCACAAACTTCAATACCTTAGGGCTCAAGTAGTATAATCCATAATTATTATCTTTAAGAGAAAAAAATTATTATAAGTAATATATTATTTCAACAAATTAGTACTTTACCCAAGAACTTTTCATATGTATAGCCCTTTTGCAGAAATTTCTTAAATATTTGACTAATTGATAAATTTTAAAAGTAACTATCAGTCAAACACATAGCCAGGGAGAAAAAATTTCCTGTGGAGCTGAAGCCCAACGAAATTAATCAAAGGTCTACATATATAAACAAAAGTATATTCTTTATTAATTTATTATGACTATTATTTATCTAAATATATTTTTTAAATGTTTGGTATTATTTAAAAGTTCTCTCGAAAGTAAATTGTTGGCTTTTGGCTTATTTCCAGTATCCATAGGAGATTAACTCAAATATTTCAGTTAATATAGTTTATCATATAAGAATGAAAAATTTAAAAATAAACTAAAAATATTTACATAAAGAATATAAATGAATAAATAAAAAACTAATGTATTTAACCATAATATCACTACAAGAGTCATGTAAAACATATCGGTCATAGCTCTTATAGGCAGTCATCAGACATACCATATGATTGACAGCCTATTTCCTGAAGCCACATGGGAACTTTAGATTGCAGTCTGGACCGCTTTTTGGCATTCTTACTTAGTGGGTTCGATCTTTTAGAGTTTTTTAAGTATACATGACAATCAATATCAGTTTTAATAAATATTTTTTTCTTTTCTTGTATTAGTAGTTTTTGTGTATAAATAATGTTTAAGTAATCGTAGTTAAAGTACACCTTCATTTGTGTACGTTAATGTACAATATAACTGTAATGTATATTACAGTTATATACCTATAATATGTATATATTTATGTATATATATATATAATAGTATATATAATATATATTATACTATTTAACAGGTTCTAATAAAATAAACAATTAAATTTGATTTCAATGTCAGTTATGACGACAGTGGCTACTTTTACTTAATAGAAGCTATTATTCTTAAAAGAGAGCTTTCAAACAGTACTGAATTGCAACAACAAATAAATTTATTATTTTATTTAATTGAATTTTTGCATTTATTTTCATTAAAATAATAAAAATTTTTGTTATTATGATTCACTATCGTTTGAAACCTTTCCATAAAATATATAATATAAAAAAAACATTTACGAGTACAATGACTGAGAAGAATGGAAAATCTGTATTCAATAGAAAACCACTTTTACTTTTGACTGTAGTGAAAATTCCAAAAGTTTAAAACGAAAAAAGTTAGCAATGTCCAACTATTAATACCTTTCACAATCTTTTACTACAAATCAATCAATTACTATTCACTTACTACGTTTTTTCGGAAAAAATAATATTTTTAAATTTATTTTTAAAGTTAAAATAAATGTACTTGTATACATAATCATAAACATATACAATCTTCACTATCTTGAATCAAAACAAGTCCATTTTAAATTTTTTTAAATTGAATTTGTCACACTAGTAGGTGAGTAAATTGCTAATAATATGTAGAAGATAGGGACTAGATTGGATTGATTTCTTGGTTTTTGTGAATAAAGAACACATATATATATATATGTAAATGTCTGTGACCTTTTCTTTGCGTTGGTAGAGTATGTTAATACCATTCCAATTAATATAATAATTGTACAGTAACAATTGATACTATTTTATATAAAATCTATACAAAAACTTGTTCATGAAATTCGATTATTTTTTTTATAAATTTATATTGATAAATTTATATTGATATTTTATTATAGTTTATGTATACTTTATATAACATAATAATTATTTCATATATATAATTTCAAAAACTTAAAAAAGTAGTAGAAGTAATCGATACTTATAATTGCACCTTCTTTATATAAAACCACCTTCGACCAATTCATATCAGTCATCATCAATACCCTAACTACTAAAGTTAATATTTATACCTTCACATATCATATTGATGAAAAAGTTACTAATTTGATGCATTATATTGCTACGAAATTGCACTAAAAATAAGTAAAGAGAATTTAATTCATTTCCTTAGAATGCAAAAGAATTCCTTAGAATGCAAAAGAATTCCTTAGAATGCAAATACCCATCAGACCGTTTTTCAGAATTAATTCAACATAAGTCCAACTTTTATTGACAGTTTTTATACAAAGTCCATACTAAAATATACTAATAAGGTTTACAAATTTTAGATGTACATAAGTGAAGTATTACAAGTATCTTTACAGAGCTAATATATCCTTAAGTCACAATAATGTGAAAGATACAAAAATGTGCATTTAAAGGAAATCATTAAAAGATATCTAACAATAAAGTTTATATATTTTATTTTAAAGTCAATTAAGATTAATTCTTATGAAATACCAATATTTACCAATATTTATAGTATATTGGCATTTATTAGACAGTTTTGATATTTTAATCGACAATCAACAGTGTGAGCAAGACGTGGTAATAGAAAATATTTTATTTAATAAAAATGAACCTCCGGATAAGTAACGTTTAACATTAGCACCATCGGTCCATAAACTATAGTATTTTCACTTTTACAGTCATTAGTTTTTGATGGCTCCCGTCCTTGTAAAATACATTAAATATTTTCTATAATACAGTTTTGTTTATGCCACTGATATGTTTAAGTCAAAAGCCCCCGAAAAGTTATAATTTTTCTGGACACCGTTTCAGGCACTGGAATAATAATTATCTATGATTTAAATCGAAAAGCCTTAACGGTGAAAGATTCCTAGTGTATGACCATAAAGATATATATCGATCTATGTATGTATAATATTAATATTAATTATTCTTTAAACATTTCTTTAAACATTTAATTGGCTTCTTTTTTAAGTTTATTTTTTAATTTGTTCCTCATTATTTAATTTTAACTTGTCGTTGAAGAGAAACAATATTTTATTTTTATTTTTAATTTTTATTACTAATATATTTACAAATATTAAACTTAAACTTCTAATGGCAAAAAATACCCAGATACAGTTAAGTATATAAAAATATTATAAACCATTTACAGATTTTGTATGAAGTTGAAACAATTATAACTATTAAATAATTATTAAAAATTAAGTAATTATTAATTAAATTAACAAATGAGCTTATATATTAACTTAAATATGATGAGTTATAATCACAATCACAATGCAAGGCAAATTTATATTATAATTAAAAATAAACGTTGCTAGGTTCCGGAGAATAGAAACTTATTAGTAGTATTGATATTAAACTAAATAAAACAAATCTACAAAAGTTTTACTTTAAATTAAAACATTAAAGATTAAATATTTTTACATCATAACAAAACGTTATTAAGACTATTAGAGCATCTATTTAGGCGCTTTTAAGCTTGGTTCGCCTCTTCGATAGAAGGCTGGACCAATTGCTATAAGGCATCTCGAAGGCAAGAGAAAACACAATTGCTGCTAAGTAGACTATAACAACAAAACCTGAAGTTAGAACGCACTGTAAAAAAAAGATAAATATTAAAATAAATTTTAATATATATTATTATATATATATAAATAAATGTGTGTATAATTTTGGGCCAACAATAGAAGATACTAGAACTAAAGATAATGCCATTATCTGATGTTAACAAATTTTTGAATGAAGGACTTTTTGTCCTCAAGACTTGTTCGATTAGAATCAATTAATTTAAAAACTGTACTACGCTCGAAGTGCACCACTCAGAGCCCAGAATCTAATCAATTATCTAATAATTATTATAATCAAATTATTCTATATTATCATATGTATATATGTATATGGCTTCCTTAACTCAAATGACAATCGATTGTTATATATTTTTTTGTGTTACATCCTGCTTACATTTACTTAAAACGATTTTCACTATTATGTTTACCGCTCCGTTTTTAATTTGAATTTAATAACATGTTCAATATTTTGACCAACTTTACAACTATAGTATATATTTCGCAGAAGCATAGACGCTATCAAAAAATGATAAAGCAGCACTGGGAGTTTTCGAGAGATAAGTTCTTCTTAAGATCTTTGATCCTCTACGAGTTAGTGACGACTACTACATACGAATAAAATACGAGCTGTACGATCTTTATCACAATATTGATATAATTTAACAAATTAGCATGCAGTAGCTTTGCTGGCTTGGTCATGTCCTGAGAATGAATGACGATGGTTCAGTAACAAAGTATTTCAAAGGTGTATATTACAAAGGTGTTGAGATAGATGGTTTTTTTGATGAAGTAATCAAGGAGTATTAAAAGCACTTCATGTACGACACTGGAGAAGGCGCACAGGCAACAAAAGCACCTGGAGAAATATTCTGCGCTGCGTCGAAACCTAAAAACAGATTAAATTTAATTGTTATGGCCATTTAACTAAGTAGGTTGGCTTAAGTTAGATTATACTGACAATTTAAAGAATCCATTCAGGCAAATTAGTACATTACGTTACTATATAAATAAAATTCAGAAGTCTAAAAACCACCTTGGACCTTTGACAAAGTTTAAAATGCTTTTCAGTGGGAAGTCTTGGAGTTGCCAACATGGCGCCACGCATACGCTGAGTAATAACAAAGCAGATGTGAGATCCTTTGATCGTCCTTTTCATAACTGCGATAGAAATGTTTAAAAGGTAGATTCAATCTTCCAGTATGAATCCCTAATCGGTAGAGATCCATTGGCTAACCTACCACTGGACTAATATATTCACGAACCATTTCAATTAGATTTTCATAAGTAATAATATATATAAAAATACAAGTGAACTAATGCAAATATGCGATGCAATATAATACATAAATACAATCTCTTTTTAATTGTTCTGCACATACAGTGCTACTGCCATTTGAGTTGATACAAACTATTTACATATATACATTATGTATACATATATACATATATCATTTTGGACTTACCAGCATAAAAGGATCTGCATGAGTGCTTACATTGGTGAAGCTAAAGAAGAACCCTATCACAAATGGATTTAATAAATAAATTGCATAGGATAAACGATTCACATGTTGAAAGACTTTAGCTTCCAATATGCGAGACCACCAAATACCGCGTCCAGTAGCACTGCCCACAATCATCCAACAAATAGTAAGTGAGAAAAAATATCGTCCAATAACGAATAACGAAATCGAAAATAAGTAGGATATATCACGTTTAATAGTCGAATAAATACAAACGAAAAACACTAAAATGGACAAATTCCAACAACACTTTTCTTTGGTTTCACTAATTTCAATCCGTTGGGTTTGTTCTTCCTGTTGACGCTCAAATAAGTACCAAGCTGATACAGCACCCATAATATAGGGTAATATTCGTACGAATGGGCTTATGTAAATTTCTGTGCCAGTAGCAAACGCTGCATCGAATGATAATTGAAACTTTGAATTTAAACCAATACAGTAGGTCCACAGCACATTTCCAGCAAATAATGTTACCACAGTGGATTTAACAAATTTTGGATGTCTATTGAATATATACGAAATTATTAAAGTAAGTCTCTTAATTTCAAGTAAAGAAAACTAAAACTTACTTTGCATATATGAAAAGTAAAATTGTTGCTAAGAGAAAATATTGCATTTCACAAGCCAATGACCAAGTCCAATTGGCGCACATATCTAAATGTTTAAAGAAATTCTGTATGAAGAGCAAATTCCGCCACCAATGTTGGGAACACATTTCATCGAAGCGTTCGTTTATATGATAAACTGAGACATCGGCTATATATGCATATAATACATCCACCGCTGCTAAGATGACAAGATAAAGTGGTCCCAATCTAAACGAGTTGTGAATATAAGGATTAGCATATAATATCGTATAGTTATATCGTAAATGTTTACATACCGTAAATACCGATGGAATACTAATTTGAAGAATTGCTTCAAATTTTGCGTCAAACTATTTTTGCGTATCTGATCCATTTGCTTGGTGTTTCGCATGAAATTGTATACTTGCAGGAAACCACTAAAAATAATTATTTTATTATTATCATTTAGTAATTAGAGATAAGTATGCTTATTATTAAATTTATTATTTTTATAAATTCTTAAATGGGCTAATTGATCAATGTTAAACAATGACTTTTTAAATTAAATTTCTTCATTTCAGCTATGGATAATTGGTTGGTTGGTAGCAATGGCAGGTCAGCAGATAGCTTTTCACTAAAACCAATAGTCAATTTTTTACTGTTTTGTTAATACATTCCTCAAAAGAAACCTTACGATATATAAAAGAAGACAAAAACTAAATATATCCCGTCAAATTTATATAATTTAACTGATCTTTCGTCCTTATCCAACAGTGACCAGCTCTCAAAAAAAGTACTTCTCCAAAAACCGATATTTTCCGAAGGCTAGAGCCAGGCTTTTATAGAGAAAATAATTAATTTTTAATTAATTTTAATTAATAATTAATAATAATTAATTATAGCTAATAATTAAAAAATTTAAATTTGATTTAATAGTTAATAATAATTAATTATAGTTAACAATTAATATTTTAAACAGTGTGATAAGCTCTCAAGAAAGTAATTCCCTAAAAACAACTTTCGTATTCTTAAGAGCCAGAGTTGGGTATTCACAACTTTTATACATTAGTAACCAGAAAGAAGTGCAGTAAGCCTTACAGTATACACGCGATCACTTTTAATGAGTTCCCACGCTGTAGCCTTATTATAAGAAACCCATATTAACCGGTAAGTTACAAAAGACCTAAATTTCTTTTATTTATTATTGGAAAGCTAAAGAAAATGGAGTTAAGTACTTCTCTTAACCATCTACAGGGCAATATAAGCCAATACTCATAGGAATACATCTTCTACCAAGCTAGACCAAACCGTCTGCATTTTCAATTGCTTCAATGTTCCTGTGTTCAGAAATAATAAGAGTGATGTCAGCTAGCTGGTTTAGACGGTCCATTGCTTCTCTACATTCTTTAATTAAATTCGATTTAGTGATGAAGGGTTGAAACGCCTTATTTGCCGCCAGGGTGTCAATAAAAATGACAACACTACATCTAACCTTAATGTGATTTGCAATTAGTCGCCATATTTCATTATTCGCTGAAACTTCAATCTGCAAAACCGTGATCCCATTAAATAATCTAAGGGGATGTCGAGAAAATTTTGGGTCGTAACTTCCCCTTTTCTCCCTTTCTTCTCGCCTTTTTTAAGGCATCTGTAAAAATTGCTACAAATTTCATCTTTTACATTTCTTTCTTGACGGTAATATTGTCTGAAAATTTCTTTCAAACTATGAAGCATATGGATTAAGATAATCCTATGTATTTCGACTGTAGACTACCGCCAAAATGTATAGTTACAATAAAATATAGTTCTTAAAAGTAATTTTAAAAAGTGGTATATTATTTAAGATTGACCAATTAACCTGTTCAAAAATATATAAATAAAATTTGATCATAAAATCAGTAAAATATTGTTTATTTATTTGCGAATTATTGTTAGTATTAAACCATTGATTTGAAGTAATTAATATAAAAAAATTAAGATTTCTTGGTATATTAGAACAATATACATGCATAGAGATCTAACGATCGACTCAGTGAAAGAATATATCAAGGACAGAGCCTTAAAATTATTCACAAAAGTCGATACGTTGCCCAACCCCGCCCTAACAAACCTTAAGTCCACCTCAGAACGCGCAGGAAGATATGATGATCTACGGTCCGTCATCAGTTAATAGATAAATAAATGATAATAATTCTATAATAGTATAGATAAAGCTTAGTGTGGGGTAGCGACAAAAAAATGAAAGTGCGCAATAGCACTAATTCAAACCACAACAACAACAATATACAATTATGTATCAATTATTTCAGAATGACTAATATTCAAAATTTTTAAAACTATTCTAAACAAAATTTGATTTAGATATTTTTAAAATATAGTTTTTAGAAAAAACTTGAAAAATTGTGTATTATTTAAATAAGTGAACCCAATTAGCCCATTCAAAAATATATAAAATTTAATTTTGGTATAACAAATAGGAATCACTAGAAATGTTTACCTTATTGTGAAGAACACATCTACCAACAGTGGTGCCGAACTGACATATTGGAAGAATATTTGCTCCGCGTAGGATATCAAGAATGTTTTATTATTCACTGTGAAGTACATGAACCAAACCACATGAAAGATCATTATCCAAATAGCACACACTGAACGCAAGCCATTAATAACTGGTATATCCTTTGAAGCATTGGTTGGTTCCTTTGTGGCTACAAGTTTTTCATAATTTTCCTGCACATCAAAGCATTTAACAAAATCTTTCATTTTATCCAACACATCAGGTTCTATCAAATCAATAGTAGCTCTAATTTCAGGATTTGCCTGTTTCAACTTTTCTTCTATATCTCCGCTTTCTTTCACAATTTCCGCTTCCGCTGGAGTTGATTTCTCACGCAATAATGAAGCACACAACATCATTGCTGAAGTAAAAAGTAAAAGCGTGCAAAGCATTTTTAAGCTTTTACGTTGATAAAAGCTTTCGTTGAGCTTTAAGTCTTTCATGTAAGCAACTTCTGGGCGTATATCGTAAATATCATTTTCCACAAATAAGCCGCGTTCCACATAATATGTCGTAAGCTGTTGAATTTCACTTGACTGGCAAGTGCTGGGCAAGCACAAGCCCACGTGTATGATTTTTTCAGACATCAATTTTATCTCAACTTGCCACGGAGAATTGTGACGCAGGTAAACCACGCCATAGTTCATATCGAACGGTGCACGTTCCGTTATAATGCCGAAGTGCATTACACGCTCAAAATTTTTGGAAAGCGTTATTGAGACCGGATTTTGTGCAGCATTGCAAGATTCACGACTGCCCAACCAAAAGTTCTGTCCAAAAACAAAGCCAGATGGTTTAGTGCCTGAAGCATCAAGTACTGAAAAATAGAAAATTTTTATAATGGTTGAACTTTATTTATGCCATATCACTCAGTAATGCCTCACCTTTCATTGCCCATGGCGATCTGCGCAAAATACCGCGTTGTATTTGCTTCAATTGTGTGTGGCATGCTGCATTGACATTGCTCTCATTTGCCAATTTCGCGAGTGCATAAATGACAGACGACTTTTCCAAGTGACTTTCAAAACTCGGTGGACGTCGTAGTATATCATCATCATCATCAGCTACTGCACTTATAGTCGGTACTTTTCGATTGTCCTGCAACTCACTCACCACACGTGCGGCATAATGCGTTCTAATAGGCAAAATCAGATTGCTACCGTTTATGATCGCATATTGACGCACCGTAGGTGTGTGGTTTTGATTGTGATAATAACTTGTGCTCACATTGATGATGTTGTTAGCATTGATCACACTCAAATGGGAAGCACATAGAATGACGACTGCAATTAACACTTTCCATCTGTAGCGACACATTTTGATTCTGTTGGAGAGGGGCTGCTATTAAGTGCCCAACTACTTTGGGAATTTCGCACTATAAACTTCTGTAAGTGTTGCCGCTTTTGTTTGACTTTTACTTAGTAATTAAAATCTGTAATGAACAAGTGGATTTGTTTTATTAATTAACTTTAATGAATTCTACATGTGTAATTTTATAAATATTATTTGTGCTTTTATTTACAATTCAATAAGTCAAGCTCGTGATTTACACATTTCAAGATGTTTGAACTCAAGACCACTTGACAAGGACTAACTATTGACCCAAGAATAAATTTATTTATTTTTCAGTCTACATATTTACTATTGGTTTCATAGTCATTAATCAAAGTTCTAGAACCGGAATAAGTTCAAGTATTTGTAGGAAAATCCGTATTTGGACGAAAGTGGGAAATCGTACTTATTTTATTTTTTGCTGTTAGTTTGTGAACCTAGAATGTTTACTTATTGTAGTGAACGTATTGTTTTCTTAAAATTCACGTTTCTAACAACGTTCCATTTCATTTTATTCATTATTGATTTAGTGGAAATCCATTAGAAACTATAGAAAATGAAGTTAGTCATGAATAATACTTTGTTTTTACAGCAAAAAACCGCTTACATCAAAAGAACGTTCCGAAACTGACCTCTGTAAATAAAAATTAGTTAGGCAGGTCTTTACTTTCTCGAAATAATAAATAAATACAAAAAATATTTGTTGAGAAATTGAAATAGTAATACAAAAGGAATAGTTTGTTTACTATTTAAGGCTTCAAATAATTTTGAAATAATAAAGAATTAATTTATAAATAATTGCAATAATTCCATTCTTATACTTTTGCTATATAGCCAATTATTGGGCATTTCAACAATGTCCTTAATATATACTATCCACAAATTTATTATGATATTATTCCGCTTTACATGACTTGAAAAGATAGACTGATATTTCACCAGCCTTTCACATAATCTGCAGGTGTCAATATCTTTTTATTCCATACTTGGAAGATAGAAGTCAAGAGGATCGTGTCCAGTTTAGCAGTCAATAATGCTTATCTTTATATTAATTATTTTTTAATCCTATTCTTAAAAGATAGTATTCAACAGAAGCGTGTCCAGTAACCAGTGTTGCTTATTTTTATCCAAGAAATTGATAATAGAACCTCACAATGTAAACTATATTTTCAACACTATATTATACATTTAACACAGTGGTATATATCGAAAGAAAGTCTTACTAACTTTTCTGTGAATTCTGGAACACCTCACACTACCTACAATCTCAACACAATAGGTTTAACAGTACACCACAGTATAGCGTATACGATATATGTACTATATATGTATATATATAGTATATCGAATAAGACATTTGTGTCTTATTCACATATTTGTGTCTTACTAACTTTGCTCTGAACTGGAAGAAGGATTCTACTGAAGGAGTTCTTAATCCATACGATATCTTGTATACCTCCAAGGTATACAATCTAATTTTCATATGGAAGAGTGATTGTCTCCCATTCCGTTAGAGTAACTTGTTACTGATCAAAGCCTAAATCTCTATTGTATTCTATTGCATTCGTATGATTTTTAAAACAATATATAATTACAGCTGAATTTTTTTTTTGAAAGTTATAAAACTTTACACATTATTTACATTATAACATTATTGCATTATTTGCATATTAAAATTGCATCACATCGATGTTTTTAATAATGCATGTTATAGCATTTGCTCACGAAGTATTAGCTGGGTAAAAAGGAATTCATCGTTTATAAAAAACTTTCAAATGGTGGTTGACATCCTTCAACCAACTTAGTTATATTAATTTTTTAATATAATTATTAACTTTATTCCATTATTTAATTAAAAATCTAAGCTAAATGTAAAAGATTTTATTGACATATCAATGACGAAGAGAAAGCAGAACACTTATCCATTATACCATATCTCACTGTCCTGTTTTTATGGTATCAAACTAAAGTAATCTATGAATGGACTCATGTCTACACAAAAACTAATTAGAAATTAATAATTTCTAATTTGAAAGAATTAAGAACTGGAATACATCTGAAACTGCTTCAATAAGGAAGAACAAAGCAACCACACCTTAAACAAGGCGTAATTGACAACGAATTTGAATTAATCTTAATATATTCAGCAACCTCTTCCACTAGGAATTATATCCTTAATTAATGAATTCACTTCTCAAACTGCTGAGGTTAACTTTTGTAAAAATTTTGTTACTTAAAAGCATGATTCACGGTATTACAATGATTCCGTATGTTTATAGCCCTATCATCTGAACTTATCTATAACAAGTTTCTAGCTGATATATTCAACTATCATAATATGAAATGAAAGAACTTATTATAATTTTGGTTCGCATATCAAAATCAATTTTCTCATAATCACAATAGATTAGGTGTTTGTATGAAATCATTCATTCCCAAATGCGGTACATAACCTTAACGCATCTTCCGATGTAGGTATGCTAATGAGTAAGTAAACTGTTTGAAGTCTTCCATTTTTGAAACGCCCAAATACTTTACAAAAATGTTTATAGAATAAATTACCTATTCTGTAATAGGTTCATTTGTATATGAATATTACTTTAAATGAATTTTTAAAATAAATTCTTTTACATTTATCGTAAATATTACAAATATTGTTCACATTTTAAGTTTTGCGGCATTGAGTTTGTTTGCTAAATCTTTCCGACGAAAAGCATTTTCAAAGCCCACAACTTTTTATTTGAAGTACACATATTCGAGTTCAGATTTGACTATTAGATTTCTGGATGTTCACAAATTTTGGCAGAAAGCAATTTTTTTTAATAAATTTTTGTTAATGATTTTAGTAAATAACAAAAACGACAATAGTCATCTTTTTTTTTTTTGGATTTCTGAAATAACTCGAACAAATTTTATGATTAATTTGGCAATGTGGCTTTGTGGAACCTTCATGGAGTTTTTAAAAGTGCCAAATTTGGAAAAAAAATATTAAACAAAAATGATAAAAACATTTTCAGAGCAAACATCAATCTGAAGTAATCTGAAGTTAAATTGTTATAATTAATAATACTTTGGGGTTTCCATTTATGGATGTTAGGATTACCTTCAACAATTTATTTGGACACAATGAAGGAGTAAAGCTTTTAGTTTATTTGTTTTGGTTCTAATGAATAATGAGTGATATATGATGGCTCAGAATGGATGTTATACTTTAAGAATCTCAATATTGTTCTGGTTGACTTTGAATATCTAAAAACGATATTTTATAGTTATTAATGAAAAAATTTGAGTTTTAGGTAAACAAATTAATATTGTTTTCTTTTGAAATAATAACAATACATACATTTTTCTAAGTGTAATTTTTGCTATATGATGTGTTCTGAATAGATATTCAATTGTACAAGTATTTGTTGTATTGTGTAAATTGAAAAAGTTAATTAGCTCAATTTTCATAATATTTTAAGTAATTACTTTAGAGAGTTTAGTGAACCTCAATATTATGCATTTTTTGATAAACATTTTTCGCTAATAGACTAATTGTTGAGTCTTTTAAAAAACGCTAATAGATTTAGGTTATTGCTCTGCTACACAAATTTCCTAAGTAAAAATTCCCATTCTGGGATGTGATGTGTTTGGATTTGGTTATTGCGTTTTATATATACATATATATATGTGTACAAATGTAATTGTATTCTACCAAGGCCAGAGATGGAATATCCATTATTATCTATAGCTTGCTATATATCACACATCGTTAAATATTTTTCCTAATTTGCTACTGATATCTGCCAATAGGTTATTTTTTTTGTCTACTACTTCGTCTAATATTGCATGCTCACATTGGGTGGCATATATCATCATAGAACTTTATCATTTCTTGCTTGGTTTTAGGTAAATCCGTTATAAGTAAAACTGTTGAAGATAACGCTTACCTATTCGAAAAAAATTTAAGTGATGACTAGTACCAAAATAATGTCAAAAAAAATATCCCACCAATAAGAATTGTCAGCCCCAAAAGGCCTCCACTTAAAGTTATATCCTGTTTGTCTGTCTTTGCTTAAAGCGGAATTGGCATTGGGTCCAAATATTTTTAACATATTCCATAAACAGTAATTAGTAAAGTTCTTTATTTTGCATATAATAATTAAAATTGCCAGTAATATCTCCGAGTTACGGAAAAGCATTGATTTTATACATACATTACAGACACAGATCTTTGTTTTATATTGGTGAGAAGTAATTTCCATTCCATATATCACAGAAGTGTATGAGGTAAACACAGATGCTATTCTGTTCACTATGCCATTAGCAACACTGTTCAGAACAGAGATGATACAGAGATGAACATCTGGATGCTCGAAAGACAGAAAATATTGATATTTTCATTTTTGGTTATTGGAACAAGTATGGATATGGGCGAGCGTAAAAGTGGAACGTATGCCCTACAGATGGCAATTTGATTTTTACGGTGAGTCCAATTATATTGCATATTTTGTAACAAATACCTTCAACAACAAGAACAGCTACTACAGTAGTGCATGAACAAAGGACAACTAATTGATTATGAGAAAGGTAGAGGATACAGTTTCTTTTTATTCATTTAAAAAAGTATAAATATACGACTGATCTGCTTAACTTTCCGACCACATCTTGTGTACTAAGTAGGAAGGACATTGCCATTTTTTGTATTCCTCAATTGAAGCATACCATAACAACCGTTGTGAATCACTAGACTATATATTAAATATTGATGGCGCTTATTAATTTCAAGAATCCCTACTGTTTATCTAAGTAACCTTTCGATTTATGGTTTTATCAATTTTCGCAAACTGAATCAAAATATGGTTCAGGGGTGAGTTGTACTTGCCGCCTGAGTTGTACGCTGCTTTTACGATATATACGAAATCGATTTCGACGAAAACCAGTTTATTTTGGTTCGCTGAAAAAATTAGTTAGTAGAATGTGGAATGTTAAGAATACAAAGTTATTTATAATATATTACTAACACGTAGTGGGCCACTATGTAGGACGAACCCTTGATTAAAAGTACTTGAAATGTGTTGCTTTCTTTTCTTAGTATAATCAGCCATCAATCATTCG